TTAAAGTGAGTTAAATTAAATAATCCCAAACAGGGCCAAATGAACTTCTGTTGCGGCACATTAACTATTAACTATTATAATATTATATGATGTATATTGTAAGTAATGCAAGTTACTAGCTGGAAACTTAATATCTTATCATAAATTTATTTTTTATAAGATCACATTATAAAGGGAGTATAAAAACATTTTTATAAAAAAATATTTTTTTATTATTTATTAGAAAATTTTCCATAGATATTATTGCTGTAAAGAAACATCCCCTCTTCATCGTAATATGACAGACAAATTCAAGCTTTTACTAGGATACATGAAACTTACCAAAGCAAAGCCCCCTTTTCCCCATTGTCTAGATATCTTCCTTTCATCAGCTCATGGTTTTTTCTCGCTGGCTCGGAAACGCTTAGAACCAGCACCAAAAATTGCACACATCATTCTCGCGCCATCAATGTCTTTTTCTATATACAGCGTAATGGTCCATGGTAATAAAATATAAAAACTAATTATTAGTAAATTATTATTAACTGCGAAAAAATATAATAAATTAATAAATTTATCTGAATATATTATAAAACCCTCGTTGAACTTAAGGAATTTTTGGAATTCTTCTTTTCCTTTATAGATTCTGTTGTTATTTATTTCGAATGATCTGATCAGAAATCGATAAAATTATCTATTTTCTTATACAGAGTAAAAATATTCGTAAAGATATTTTGAAAAATAATATAATCTTATTAAAATTTTCCTAGAATCATGCATGGAAAATGTTATATTAATTAATAATGACCTGTAAATCATGATCATGTCCACTAATATACAATGATGCCATATTTTCTTTTAGGCTCGAATTTAAAAATTGGAGAGATTTTGTAGCGCCGTGATAACCGAATGAATATATTGGATGATGTCCAGCCACTACTAAAAAATCTGCGTTGCTAAAAATAATTATCATTTCCTTTTAAATTTTAATAATCTTTGTTATTTATTTATATCATAAACGTCGTAAGACATTTATTTTTGCTAATCATTTAATGTTACATTAAGGACGTCACTATGGGAGGGGATGCAGGGGCTCAAGTCTCCTGATAAATTTGAATAGCCCCCCCCCCTAAATATTTTTATCAATTTCAATAAATTTTATTGATATAATTTTCCTTATAGAATTTTTTTTTTATTTTATCAATCCTAATCAGATAAATATAATTATTAATTAATTTTAAAAATCCGTTTTAAATATTTTGATTTGCTTGTGAGCCATCACTTAAATTTAAAATATCTTCTGTTGCAAAACGAAATCAAATCAACTCAGGATACCAAAATTATTAAATTGTACTGATTTAGATTTAGGCAAATGTAGATAACCCCTTGGGCAGACTAACCTTTTAAAACATTTTTATCATTACAAAATACAAATTAATTTCTAATAGAAGAAAGGAGGGTCCTTAAATTTCTTTATTAAAGAATGTATCGCTTTACTTTTTTCTACTAAAATAAAGCTAAGCATGTTAGATAAATTTTTTTAAATTTATCTTAAAATAAAAATTAAACGAAATTCTGTTTAATATTGTTTATTTATTTTTACTTTAAACTACTGACGATAATTTTATTTCCATCTTAAAAAAATTACAATGATATAAATTTTTGATTACGACAATTAGAAAAATTTCCGCATCTAAAAATTATATACCATGTCTATAAAAAAAATATTTAGATAATAACTGTTTAGGTTAGGTCGGAATGGCCCTACTATGGATAATATACTGTTCTTTGTCTCAAGTAGAAACCATTTTTTGAATCAGCTGACATTAAACTTACTCTTTGCCCTATTATTTTGAATAATTTTAGGGCTTAAGGTCTAAATGAATCACAGGTTGAAACTACTGGAACCAACCATAGATTATTTATGTGGCTCTATTATTTTGTTTTTATGTTTACTGCTCTCATGATGGAGCTGGAGGAAAAGATCTGGCAAAATGATCTACACCCCTGGGGAAGTAGGATCATCTCATCGGGTCTGGTTTGATTGTCAGGACTGAGGTCAGAGAGTTTCAACATGAAAGGAATATTTCTGGATTTCAACGTTCTACTGATGATCGAATTGATAACATAAGGCCTAGATAATCTGCCTTTTGAAAAGGTACAATGCAGAGTATAGTGGCATAGATGTCGATGTTACAATTTCAAAGCCAAATCGAAAACCGATTGTAATTCTAAATTTTTCGTTGGCAAGTAAGAGGCATAAATTAGAACTAAGCATTGTTTCTAATTATTCATAACCTATTTGGCTGAGGCTTGAACTGTTTGATCTAGTAAATGAGTAGTTTGGTGGGTTTAGGTGAAGAAATCGCGCTGAAGATTTTCTTTGAACAGCTTTCGAGTTTAAGTATTTAAACAGAATGCTGAGCCTCTTTGCCTTGTATAATTTGGATATGGGCAGTTTAGAGCGTTTACCAGAGGTCTAAAACTGCAATATGATGTGGATTAAATCTAAGTCTCCAAGCGTGTAACAAAATTTGGCGGCATAGGATGGAAAAATAGAAATATTTAAGGATATAGGGGAATGGGGACTTAACTAAACTTTGGTGGAAGGGCAGATCACATCCAAGAGAGGGATGAGAATTTGATATTTTAAATAGATCCAGAGCTTTTTATGAATGAACTTCTAAAAATTGGCAATGACCCGAAACATGTAAAATTTTAGTAATGAATAAAAAAGGTAAATAAATAAGATAAAATAATAGTCCCGTTATGGGAGTTAAACAATTTATAATTTTTGGTATTTTTATGATTTCATTAAAAGGTCCAGCTGTGTACCATCGTCGAAATATTAAATATTTAATTTAAGGGCCCTATTTGAGGAGATTATTTTTAGGATTATTTGTATGTCCTGGCAGAATAGTGCAGGACCTAGTGGACCTCAATGCTCGCTACTTTGTTTAAAGAGAATGACTAAATTGTTGAATTTTTAAAGAGTGGGTTGATTGTAACATGCCGAGAGATGTTGGATATTCTGGGAATGCTTCACAGAAAAATGGTATAAAATGTTCCCTGTTAAGTGAATTGATGTAAATCTATTTTGAAAATGCGTTTATCTTGTGTCTCATGAAGGGTGACACGTGTGGAGTGAGAAGCAGCCTAACAACCTCCAGGAATATTAAAAAATAATTATTGCCAATTTTCACGATTTGAAACGCAGCGCTTGAAACGCCCAATTTATGTGCACTATAATATTATTTTAATATTCCCCTTTTTATAATCGGCTATCCATCTACGCAATAGACGGAATCTAGAAGATGATTAATTATATTATATGTGTGTTTATATATAAAAGACACATATTTAAAATAATAAATATAATATAATAATTTATGGTCATAACTTGGGTGTAGATTACCATATGAGAAATCCTTTCTCGTCCGGTTATTTGGTTTTTTATTGTAATAATTTATTCCAAAATTATAAAAGTTAAATAAACATTTTTGGCCAGAGAGGTTTTAACGCTCTAACCTCCTCCCTGAATGTGCCTATAGTTTCTGGCAATACTAACTTTTTATAAATGTAACGATTATCTAACACTTGGGGATGCAGATAAGTAACCGAAATTTCAGGAATCAGAAAAGAGTTCTAGAAGATGTTTCGGATATTATGGCTTTATACAATTATGCAAATATGCTTGTTTCATATGTTATGATTATGTGGGTGTATATGTTGTTTCAATATAAATATATGAATTAATTAGCTCATGTTATATGTACAAATAGAGTTCTGTTACAAGAAGTTTCACCTATGTAATTCTCCAATTTTGAAAATGTAATAAAGATCTTCTGTAACCGTGATATTTGTCTGTATAATATAATGTTTATTGTTCGTTTTAAAACAAACCATTTTCGTATTAAACGTTTAAAATGGAATTCTCGATTTTATTATATACATGAAACAAGGAATTCAAAAGGAAGGAATATAATTTTTTCATTTAAAGTTTTTATTTCAGCTGAAGACGATAGTATTATAAAGGAAGTGAACTTAATACTATTTGTAATATCATTATTAAAATGGTTATTAAAACATTCAATTAAAGAACATTATCACTTTTACATTCACTTTTAATATTACATTGGACATTACATTTATTTCTATCTATACCTTGTTGCCAAGACACAACAGGTAAATATTTAGTCATTACAATAGAAATTTACCCCACTCAATCCTATCGAGCACTTATTTTAATTACTAATAATTATGAGACCAAGCAGGACACGATTAAATGATGTTTAATTTGAAAAATACTCTTTTTATCAAAATCTTTAAAAATAATCATCTCTGATTGTTATTAATTACATTTGACAATAAAATATCAATAACCTAGTTTACGCTTCTACTTTATACTGCTTTTTTTATACTTAGACATTATTTTAAAATGAATCAATAAAAATCTATATCGCATTTTTCTATCACTTATTCCTTTCTGTGACGAAGAACTTTTGTTATAGTTACCTGCTCTAAATAATGGTAAACCGTTAATCTTTTTTTGAGGTAACGCATGTAACTTATCAGTTACATTTATCTTTGGATAAAGGTTTTTTTTTAAGTAAAATATACCAACCCTAGTAGAGGCAAAGGGTGTTTAGAACTATCCACTAATGTTTCAAAAAAAGAAATTATTATAATTTTTCTATTTATAAGAATAAAAATAATCAGTAAATTTTAGCGCAATTATTTATTTATTTAAATCTAAAATTTATAAGATGTGAATGTTTTATTCATAGTAGTGGTTTGGGAGATGCATTTTATTTTTAAGAGTAACGTAAAATGTATTGAAGTTACAATTTTTTAATATTATTTATAGTTCTATTTATAATCTATTTTTTATTACTAATATATTTTTTATAAAGGATAAAAAATAATTAGAGAAAAAAATCTTAATTTAGAACAATCATGAAATATAATAGTACAAGTTTTCAAAAATAAGATAAAAATTCATTTTTAACTATTCACTTTTATTATTTATTCTGATAAAATTGTTGATTCCTCCTGTAGATTTTCTTTCGGTAAAGAAATACGCCATCCTCGTTATAGTACGCCACCACCAAGCGTTTGCTAGGATACATGAAATTTAATAAACCAAAACCTCCTTTTTCCGCATACCTAAATATTTTCCTTTCGTTGGCATAGGGATATATCCTTCTTTGTAGGTCAAGCTTAGAACCAGAACCAAATACTGCATACTTCATTGTAATATTATCGGTGTCTTCTTCTATATACTATTAAAATAGTGTTAAAACGAGTGTAGTTAAAACCCGATTCGGGTCGATTTTTTAAAATGGCCCGATTAAGATAAGCATCGAGATTTGGCAAATTCCCAAATTTCTTCCAGAGTGCAAAATCTTTAGGCTTATGTAATGTTATTTTGGTTATAACCTTAATCGAGCCGTTTTTAAAACCGACCCAAATTGGACTTTGTTAAAATAAATCATTTTAGTGAGATTACCAGTGAAAAAAAGAATGAAATAACACATTTGGCCTATCAAATATATACCTAATTAAGATCTACGTGGACTATAAAATTTAAAAATGGGCACAAGCCAGAACTAGTTTAAAGTTTAGAAATTACAACGGGGCAGTTTTAAAAAAAAATCTGCTCGCTCATGGTTTTTGGAAAAATTTCCAAAAACCATGCGTTGCTTAAAAATATTTGAATGGTTGGTATTGTTCATTGTTTATTTTACTATATTTTTATTTAACCTTATAAAATATGAAATAATTTAAGATAAACAAATATTTTAAATATAATCATGCTCTTTACATTTTACCTTTATCCAAATTCACTCCCCCCCCCCCGTTTATTGTTTTGAAAATATTCTTTGCACACCAGCCTATGAGAGGGCGTAGTCGAACTCTGATAAGTTAATCTATGTAACTTGGGATAGTAATATAATAATCTAAAATATTTAAGTAAATTAACTTATCTATATTTCATCTTTTTGGTGACAATGATTTTGTAGATTTCAAATAAAAAATTAGAAAGATAAAGAAATAAAAAAATATTAGGATGAATTAGTTATCTGCAATCCAGGCTAGACTGGGCCTATTCAAAAAATAATGATTTTGATTATTATATTGTGTCATTTCTAAAAAAAAATCGAGCCGGGCCGGATCAGACCTAAAATTTTAAATAAGATATATCATTCAATTTAGTGAAAAAAATTGATATATTTTTAAATTCTTGTTAGAAACAAGACGCCAATATTTTTTTATTTGTAGAATATTATTTTTACAAATAAAAAAATTATATGTTTAAATTATTTCGGGCTGGACGGTCAAATAATTATTATTTCGGGTCTGGCCTTTCGTAACACATAAAAAAAAATTTCAGGAAATGGCCGGGCCAAAATTTTAAATAAAAATTTCGTGAGAAACAAATTTCGAGGTCTTTTGACGAATGTAGAATCCCACGTTGGGATCCGACAAGTTTAAGTGGCCTCGAAATTTCCAAGAATATTTGTGCAAGATTTGCTAGTACTTTTGGCGGTTCGGAGCGAAAATAAATTTGGCGATCCTTTAAAATATTCTCCCTCCATATAATTTAACTAAACTTTTAAAAAAATCATAAAATAAAGAACCAGGTTCGTCTTTTTAAAATAGGATACTTGAAAGCAACATAGAATATAAATTCATATTTATGCAATAGATATAAATGATTTGTAATAAATGACTGAGCTAAAATTAATCATAATTTATGTGATATTTATACTTTTTTAAATAACATTTACTTTTAAGTGATAAGGAACAAATTTTAACGACCATAAAATAGTCCATCAGCAGTTCCTGTTTGCAGGGGGCTGTATCGATGGCTATTTGTAAGAAGACAGAATTTGTTAAACTAGCATATTTGTTTTTGAGTCTCTATTTTTCCTATAGCAGCTAAAGATGATTTTGATTTGGCTGCGAAGTTGATAATATATAGTACCACATCCTACCTTGGAATGAGACTTATGCCATCGGGATGCATGGAATTATTCTGTGATAACTCACACCAGTTCGAAAGATGGAACTGTAACATTTTTGAGGTAAAATTATATTGATGCATGGCCGGTGCAATCTAAAGGGTAGAAATTAGATTCGATGAACTAACCGCACCCAATACAAGTAGATGTGTCGACATTGCTGGCGAAGCAGATGGCAATAATGTTGAACCTAATTGTTCACGCGTCATAAACAAGTCCAAATCTCAGCTAGGTGGCTTGCAACTATTTTTAGACAGAATGAGCATTCAATATTATGCAATTCCGATTTTACTTTAAGCATCAGAAAGAAAGTATTTAATGGAACTAGCGATAGGAGGGGCATCCAATTCTTTTTGAGTTATTGACGATAGAATATTCACTGGATGTGACCCCCCCCCTCGCAAACTTATTCAACGACGATATTCCCCCATTATTAATTACAAGTTTTAATTAGGATGGTAATCCCTTAATATATTTAACAAAGAATAACTTAAATTATTAATACCTCCCTATAAACTATAAAAAAATTGTGAATGTAAAAAAGTTATTTTTCGGAAATATGAATTTAATTAAAAACTTTACTCGCATTTACGATGAATGCATTGTTATGGTATATAGTTAGCATGAATATGAGTTTGCTGATAGAATGTCTAACACTTTTAAAATTACGTTTAAAAATATAACAGAAAATTACCCAGAATAATTTTATTTGAAAAATAATAACTATAATTATATGCAATATATAGATTTGGTCGATGTTTAGTAATATAAAAATATTATAATAGATCTAAAATAAAAGTATTAAATAAATTTTTACAATAATATATTTTACCATTCTAAAAATTTAATTGATAATCCCCCAATAAATTTATCCTGCCCCTAGGCCTACTCCCTTTACACCTATTCCCTTCAAAAAATTTGGAAACAAAATGCTTATATCCCCTTTATTAATGTAGACGTTGGGGACAGAATAACTTGGAGAGAGTACGGCTGATAATGTTCAAGCGGATATGCAGATAGCGATGAAGGTGTAAAAGTTGTAAATCGGATACCAATGTCCCCTAACTTTTTAAGGAGAGTTTCTTTAAGCCAGAAAGAATACAAGAAGTTTATATTTAAAGTCCATTGAATCATGTCCTTTTTGAGCTTTAATAGATACTGATCGTTGCATTCAGAAATGAGTTTTAAAATAATTTCTTTTAATTGTTATTAAATGATAAATAGAATCCAGTTTAGCTAAATCCTTTGGAAATTTGTGTAGGAATGCGTTAATATTTTTTCTTCCGCGAATATGGGTTCCAGGAGGACAAGGGTTTTCTTTGCTGACTACATAAAAGTTAATAACCTGTAGAATGAATGTGGTTTTAAGAAACTTATCTTACAATTAAAGATAATTATTTGTTATTTATGAGGTCTGTAATATATAAAAGTTATAAGAGGGGGGGGGGGGTTATCACGGAAAAATAGTTACCAGCCCTTAATCATTCAAATTAAAGTTTTATATACAGCCAGGCCCAAAAGCTTGGCTCTATGAATTATCTTTCTTTTTTTTTATTTATTCTACTTTCAGATATTTTATGATATGATAAGATCGTAAAAATTATTGATCACAAACTGAAGGAAAAAAAGTATTAACATGTTTTAAAAAGTAAGATTTTATTGTTTAAATATTTTCGTTAGATTTTTAATTTTTATGAAATTATTAATAATAATAATGATAACTTGTAAATCATGATCATGGCCACAAATAAACAATGAGGCCATATTATCTCTGAGCCAGGGATTTAAGAATTGTAGTAATTTTGTGGCTCCTGCTACACCGAACGAATATATTGGATGGTGTCCAGCCACTACCAAAAAATCGGCCATGCTAAAAGAAAAGTAAATTAAGTGTTTTAACTTAAGAAAATCATTCATTATTATAATCACCAGAATGCATTTGTTACATTTCTATTCTATTGATATATTTCATTTGTTACATATCCCCTATTGTTACTGTTGTATCTCTCGTCCTCATAATTGCATGAACAGCACAGAACTAGGAAGAGACTATTGGATTGTTATATTTAGGGGCACCGGGTAGCTCATGTGTTATGATAGATGAAAAATGGAGAGGTATATCAGTCCATTAAATAAACATAAACTCGAAACGGTCTATGACATTATTTGGAGACTTAGTCGTTATGATAGACCTAGCATGATAGATCAGTTGACGTATCGGAAATGTTGAGAATCACAAAGGTTTTAAATAACCGATGTTTAGTCTAAATAAAATACAATTTCACATAAGCCTCAGAATAAAGAACCTAAGAGGCATAATACCTATTATGACTGCCCAAATGACAACTGGAATGCTTATTTTTTAAAGCACTATACAATCGTCAATAGAGAATTACTCAACACAACCATTCCCAAAAGCAGTACACACCTGAAATTATTATACACCACTGACCATAGATCACGTTACCTACACAATAGGGTAAGTTTTACCAAAACCAAAAATACAAAAATTTTATTTGAAAACTGTTCGTAATAGTAAGAGAAATACAAAACAGTATATGGTAAAATTTTAAGTCAACGGTATCAATAAAAAACAATAGATAGATAAGGCCCTAGTATTTCTATGTTTAAAAATAACTTTCGAAGATCACCTATCACACATGCAAATTAAAGAAACAACATAGAACACATGGCTTATAATAGAGTCTAAAGGAATCTCTCTCAAATGCAGGGGTACTATTATCGTTGTTCATAATTTGTAAGATTTACAATTGATCCTTTACACAGATACCGAAAATAGCAAACCATGACTAATGCAGAAGCTATGAAAAATCAATTAATAATTGAATTCTCACCAACATTTTATAATTGGGAAGAGAACTACAATGACCATAGTGAGGAACAGTTCCGACGACTTAGTAGACACTTCCAAAAAAACCTCAATAATGTCATCACCCGGCATCTACTCGATCGATGGTCTCTTACCAATCCACACATATATAACACCTGAGCTAACCGGCCCCTGTTGCATGCAGCTATAATGACGTGGAAACACAATAGCTACATCCATATATCCTTAACGTTAAATAGTAACATATTATCTCCTTGTCGTTACTGTCACACTTATATTTAATTGTTAAATATCTCTCAGTACTAAATTTGTTCGAAAATCTTGATCTCCATAAACAAATTCCTTTCTCTTTAAAGTTAAAGGTTGAATTATGTTCATATATCTGGAAAAAAATAAGGAATGCTGGTGGGATTCGGACCTCTTGCTTAAAAGCCAAACAGGTTAGCACTTAAGCCCTATATAGTAAAATACCATAAACATTTTAGACTGTTTATATTTATATAATAATAAATGTTATAATAATTAGACTCTGCTTGTGTTTTGATAATTTTCTTCTAAACCTCCGCTGTTTTTTTTAATATATAAATATATATTACTTACAATTAACTCTGAAAAATATATACAAAATAATCCCAAATCCTAATATTTAAAATATTAATAATAATCCGGGAATTCTAAAAATAAAAAAGAAATATATCATTTCTCATAAAAACCTGCCTATATTGAGCGTATTACCCATTAAATTAGTTGTTATTCCGTTTATCCATCAGAGTTCATTAATTATCGAAGATTACTGTTAAGTTAGATGTTCATATATTTTTTTAAACTTGTCAATATTGAGAGAACTACCCATTAAACAAGCTCTTATTCAGTTTACGCATGATAATTCCTTAATTCTCGCTAGATTTAATTTTCTCATATTCTCTAATTAATCGATTAATTGATGCACAAATTTTGCTTAATTGTTTCTCTCAAAATCAATATATTTTAAATAATCTCGCTATTATACACTATCTTATCCATTTGGCTTATCATATATAGGAAAACTTGCCAATATTTAGATTCATTCTTGTTAAATTTGGAGTTATTCCGTTTTTGTATGAGTGTATTATATATTTTTTAAATAAAAACCGCTAATTTTAAAAGTCGAAAATAATAGTATTTATGTAATAAAACTTGCCAATAATTAGCTTCATTCTCTTTAAATTTAAAGTTATTCCGTTTTTGTATCAGAGTTCATTATTTTTCAAAAAATAAAAACTGTTAATTTTAAACGCCAATTTTTATTGCTAAATTAATTACCGCGCGATTTAATTTTTTAAAATATATATCCCATCTTTCCTTTTTGTTTAGTGATGCACAAATTTAACTTATACTTTGCGCAAAATTAAAAATTCATTAGTCGCTTATTAATAACTCACGCCTCTCTATCTCAATTTTCTTCGCTCGCTTTGCTTCGGATTTTTTATATATTTTTATCTAGCATCATTTTTCAAATTATTCATCATCGCAGCTTCATATATTTTGATTCATTGACGCTATTTAATAAAACCTATTTGATAGTTCATTTCTTTATTTCCATTGTTTAATCCGAGTCATATTTGATAAATTTCGCGTGATCCATTCGCGATTCTTTTTATCAATTTTTATTTTCGCATCTGGATATAGCTTTCAATTCATTCATTACCACTACATTCTTCTTACAAGTAGTCAAGCCATTCACTCAAGTTATTTGCTTTACATTCTAATATTTGGCATTGACTTTTGATTTATTCATGCCCGCAGTATAATACTATAACAATGGACATCCCCTTTGAACCCAAAATCTGCCTTTCCTGCCTTAAACTTATACATTTATCAAATGATGATGTATTTTATGTTCATGGATCAATCATTAACAAGTGATCATTCAAGACGTTCACCTCTCCCCTAGAACGCTTACACGCTTCCCAGCCCTTTCATAGAACCACCTTTTTATACCCATTCCTCAATATCAGAAAACCTAACATCATATGAATTCCCAAAGAGATTAGGTTACAGGTCGCTAAGTCTCTCTCTGACTTTACCTCTTTATTGCAAAATTTTAACAGTGAGAAGGAATGGCTTAAATTTTAATCTTTGGTTATAATACCTTTAGGTTATTTTATAAATTCTCAAGAATTTCTTTAATAAAACAAATTAATGATGCCTCCTGCAACATTTCCCCCCATCTCCAAGAGTTTAAGGGTCTCACAATTTTTTTTATAACAAAAAAGCTTCTCCTATTGAGCTTAAAGCCAAACTTATTTCAAATAATAGACTGTTTAAATATTAAAGGTGCTCTTAAATTGGCCTCTTCTAATGATTCACTAGTTGACTCAGATGAGACATACATAAAACCCCAACACCCTTCACTTTAACTCCAATCGCCCAACAACCTTATTCTCATTGTGCTTCCAATTTCATTTCAGACGAAGTAAGGAAGGTAATCCTATCCTTACACCGACCGCTCACGGCCTAGATGGAATCAAACCCATGTTCTCCAGGACACAACTTCTCCATTGATCAGTTCACAAACTTTCATCCTTCTTAAAATCACAAACCTGTGTAACTGAATCTTATATGGTGACGTTCCCATCATTGACTCCCCCATTCTTTTTAGAGCCAGACTTATAACCTTACAGAAGCCTAACAAAGATATCGGAGTTAACTTTCAGCCACCTTGTCGCTAAAATGATTACATACGGGATAAAATATAAGATCTCTCACCTTCTCACCCCATTTTATTTAGGGATAGGAATCACTGGCGTATGTGAGGCCAGAGTATATCTCACTCGTCTTTATTTGGAGAGCAATCCCACAAATGAAACACTTATCAATGTTTTGCTAATGCGTACAACACCCTCACCCCTAACTCACAATCAGCGAGCACATCATTCCCATGCTACACCAAATTTCTCTAATCAATTTTGCAATTCAATTTTCAAAAAATAATCTCAGTCTAGGTCATCAAACAAGATAAATAATTAAGATCCCTTTTATTTTGTCTTCCAATCAATAATATAATTCAAATCATTAATTCAGAATGCTCATTTTTACTCCGCGTTGACGGGATGGACCTCATTTTTAACCAATATGGTCATACATATTATCAAGAAAATGAGATGCGCTGTTGGTCTCATTCCCAACCCCCAAAAATCTTAATTTGTGCAAGTAAACTCCTCCGATTAAAATTCCCACAATTTCGAAATTACCTCCAAGGAGAAGCTAACACATCTAGATTCCCCAGTAGGAGGATTCACCGCAATCAGTGCCTTCCTTCACTCTACTCTTGATATTCTTTTTAAGCTTGATAACCTCTTTGACTTGCTACCCTTGTATAAATCATTCTTCCAAACTTCTTTAATATTCCACACTTTATGCTTTTCACTCAACGCCTATTTTTAAATATCCTATCTCACTCAGTATTTATGATATAAAAATAATAACCGAAAATATTTGAATCAAAAATTCAATAAAACAGCATGGGCTCAAGCTTCTTTACCCACCAAAAGTAATGGTATAGGGATTAGATCTCCCAACGATCTTGCTCTCACTGCCTTTTGAGGATTCTACTTTCAAAAGCCACAATCACGTACCACGCCTCACAACCTTTATGATGCTATCTTGCTATGAAGGAAGCCCGTTGATGATGTCCCGAATCTAATAGACAGAAGGATTGGGACAGGTCAGTTGTAGCATGATGTGTTGAATACCTATTATCTAGCATGTTCCCATCAGACCATTCTCTCTTCACTTCTTATGGAACCGGGTATAAATTTTTGGAGTCATTCCTATCTAAAGTCTTCAACTCCAGCCAACCAACAATGAGCTAACCCACGCAAAACTTTCCTCACTTCTGCTCTGGTTGCAGAATCCCCAAAATCAGCAAAGGAAGACACATCGGATGAATCTTCAGCCACACACAATGCAATTTCTTGATCCAGCGAGCATTGAAATCTGCTCAAATACCCGCTATGCTTGAATCACCAGAACATTTAGATCCGATGGAAAGCGGCCTGACAAAATTTCCCTGATCCCATGGAAACGGGTCAATTTCTGGCTTGGTTCCATTCTTGTATAGATCCATTACCTTCTAACCAAACTCCAAACCTACTTGAGCAAAAAGAAGAACATAAAATTTCCAAAAATTCGTAAATATCAGAAGATCACATCTTTATCCCAATAATATCCACTACCTTAACCTGCAAGCATACTTGTGATCCACAAGAAGGCTTCTTCCTCAGACAGAAACTGGCTATAGCCAGGGATCCAAACCGAAACGAATATCGGTTCGGTTCAGGTTCAGATTCGGATAAAAATATCGGTTCAAGGTTCAGGTTCGGTTCACAAAAAATAAAAATATCGGTTCGGTTCGAACCTCTAAAAACCGGTTTGAACACATTTGTATTCAAACCTACATTAGGATTATGTATCAGGAGAAATTTTTTTTTATTTCATAATTAAAATAAAAACCTTCATTTTTATTAATTGCACAAATATAACAAATAAATATATCAATGATTAATTTAAATATGAACAATTATTTAAACAACTTATGTATTAGATTAAATTTTTTTCTACGCATTATAATTTATAAGCTTAAAATATTTCAAAAATATTGCAAAATGGCAATATACTAAAGTTTATAAAAATTATGACTGACGTTTTTCAATCAAATGTGATTGATAATAATTTTTAAACAATTTGAATATAATTAAAATTTTTGCAATATACTACTAGTAATAACTTACACATTATTTTATAAGCATAAAATTATGAGACTCGAACCGGTTCAGAGGCATTTTAGCGGTTCGGTTCAGGTTCGGCTAGGATATTTTAGAGGAATAGGTTCGGTTTAGGTTCGATAAAAAATACAGGTTTTTAGCGGCTTAACGGTTCGGTTCAGGTTCGGTTCAGGTTCGGTTTGGATCCCTGGCTATAGCTATCCTTAAAGCGAATTATCAAAGTTTCAATGGCAGTCTTTCAACAGATCTTCGATAGACTCACTTTTTCTTTCTTATCCTTATCATTTTACATTATATTTCACCTTTATATTATTTAATTTTATATTTATTAATTTTTTCGTATATAAATTTTGTGTTGACTTATATTAATATGATAATAAAAATAATCAATGTATCTCAATGTTTTAATAAATGACAGAGATTTCAATTCATCTACAATTTTTGAATATTTTAAATAGCCTTAAATAAACCTCATGTGATTATATAACCATTGTTTATGATGCAATTGAGAGTCTTCGTTCACATATTTTTCCTCTTCTAACCCATTAGAGCCTTTGTTGATGAGTACATTAGTATCCAACATTAAAACGTCTATTACTATGGACTCCTTCAACGATTCATTATCTCTATACTTAATATCTATCATTAAACCAATCTTGTAATACAAATCAGGATATTTCCTTATGTTCAATAATTTATTAAAATTAATAAATGCCCTAAATAAAAGAAACAATAATAAGTATAACTATTATTTTCATAATAAGGGGGTGTAAGTGTGAGGAGAGCGGTTTTTTATAGGTAACATAGATAGCTAATTATTCAAAAGGTGGCATATAATTTTAAATAATAGCAAAGAGCCACAATAATTTGTATTGGATTTGAAATTTCTCATTTTTATATCATTATTTGGGAATTTTTAAATCTTTAAAGATTAATTTGATCAGAAATGTACTCTAGTATTATTGGATTACCTACCCTAGACATTTCAGGCAATATTTTATGTAATTTTCTGTATTTCTTTTCATTTATATGAAAAATCTATTTAAATATAAACTAAAAATAGTTTAAAAGTTTTCAACGAAATTGTCAAAAATTTAGAGTTTGGGGGCTCTACCCATTCTAATTCTGATTTTTCAAATTTTAAAAATCTCACTCAGGAATTTCTTAAATTTATACTATCTTCAATCCTATGTTATATCGAAAAGGATGCAAAGTATTAGCAAAAATATCATTTTAAAAAAATATATGTGGTCTTTCTTTAGCAAAACAATAGAAATATTTAAAATTTTAATAAATTTTACAAATTAATATCTTAAATATAATATATAGATGATAAATTACATTAAAATATTTTATGCCATCTATATTTACTTTTACTATAAAAATATTTTGATAAATCAATCATAATATTAATCAGAAATACTATTGGCCTGATATTCAAGGTACCAGTCTGTATTGGTTAATGCTTTCAATTTTAACCTATACCAGTAGCCAATACTCAAAAATGGAGGTGTGAGGTATCGATTGTATCAGCTGATACCGCGTTAATATCCATAGTATCGGTTTAGAAATTGATAATATTGGTCGATACTGTATTTATATTTCAGATATCTTCATGTATCAATTGTGTCAGCCAATACCTTGTTAGTATCCGTGGTATTGGTTTGACCATCCGATATCGGCTAAATAGGCGTAACAGGGCATCGCTGATATTTAAACAAAACAATTTTTTACAACGACTATAGGTATTTCATGCATCAATTATATAATATAATGAAAACTAAATGAAAGAAATACATATTAAAATTAGCAAAAAAGAAAAATTCAAAATTAACTAAAGTAAATAAATTAAAATGAAATTTAAATTAGCATAGCCTCTTTACTATCATTTACTCTTCTGACCCCTCCCCCTTCTATAATGAGAGTGTCTTTCTTCAACGCCCCCCCCCCTCGTGGCAGAAGTCCCTAGATAAGATATTGCAATATATAATAAAAGTTGGCTACTCTTTCTTAACATAAATAATACATAATGAGCTATCTATGTTATTTATTATAACTATATTTTTTTCCTATAAATTTTATTAGAGGGCTTTAGGTCCGTTTTTATAAGCCTTTGCTACTATGGACGAGGCCGGCGGTTACTATTTAATTTCAATAAAATTTTTCTTGTTTTTTTAATTGTAAAAGAATAAACAATTAAAAATTTTCAATAAATTTATAATATAAATAATAGGATTAAATTTTTTTTAATATGAAAAAAAGCAAAAAAATTGTATCAAAATGCAGAAATACAACTAAAAATTTATCTAAGTACAAATAACTTTTATAAAGTTATCTTGATACTTTAAAAATATATATATTATAGTAACCATCTTTCAGATTTCTTTCGATATTCCATCTGAGCCGTCACATTTCCCCTGTAATCATGGTTTCCAGCTATAACGTACCAATTGATATCCTTTAAAGGTCCAAGATAAACGTTCTCAAACGTTATCTTTTAAGCATAATTTATTTTAATTTATAAAATAGTGCTTAAAATCTATTTTAGAAATCAAACGCTTATTTTAATATAAAGTCCATGTTTCCCAAAAAAACAACTTATATTTATAATTATGTTATGAAATACTTTAAATCTATCGTCTTTGATATCTTCCACACCGTCAGCATAAAAATTATCACCAAGCAATAAAACGGAGGTTTTATTGATTATGACAAATTCTTTCATTGTTTCCGCCACTTTTAATTGCATCTCACTCACGTAAGGCTCTATTGGTTGGCCGCCAGTATCTCCTATAGCTATAAATCGATAAATTAATTCGTCCTGTCCATCGCCTATTTTTTAAAACAAAATTTATAAATAATCTAAGTATATTAATAATCATATTTTATTAACAACTCTAAATAATTAAACATCGAAAGAAAGAAAAGCAATTTACCATAAATTTATTTATTGATTGATTGATAAGATAAAATTCTACTTTTAACTCCTTTTAATTAAATTCTGAGAAAATAATTGCATTGCATGGTTAAAAAGAAAGAAGAAGCGATTCATTTGGTGACATATTTTCAATTTTTTTTACATAATACTAGCAATCTGAAGCTTAAATCACATCAATAATTAGTTCGTATTTCGCTCATTATTTAGTGCAGCACCCGTTTGACACATTTAAAAGAAAAATGTATAATTGGCAAAATAAAAAATATCTAGACCCCACCGATATTTTAGGTTTAATTGGTATTATTTATCAGTCCCTTTTGCCAATTAACTATACAGCGTCGCGCCTTGCGATTCAAAAATCAAATTCATTTAGTTGTCTTTTCTCCTATTCAAAATATTTATGAATCCTGATTTTACCACCTTTTATAGTTGATTTGTTATTTTTGTTTATTTAATGAATATAGAAATAAATTTTAAATCTCGTTATATTTCGAATCTAGTTATATTTTCAAAAACTTGATATGATATTGAATCACACATTAAGAGGGATTCTTAAGTCTGAGAAGTCTTCCAAAATTTTGAAGGCGCTAATTATAGAAGCTCAAACTAAAATTTGCTTCAATCCGTTTTAGTAGACAATAAATAAAATAAACTATTAGCAAAAATAAGAAAATTTCAAAGAATTGGCATCAAGATTCAAATACAGAATAAAAAAAATATTGAATTTAAAAACAATTTAATTACAAAAAATTGGTAAAATATTTTTTTTTTGATCTGAAATATTTAAATGAGCCTTTTTCGTATAAATTATCAAATCAATATTTTAAAAAAATCTTAATTCCATGGAGTGAGGTGAGGGGGGTTCATTCCCTTTTAACACTTATGGATGGTACTCACCCTATGTATTTCACCTTGGCATGAACATTTTGTGAAGTATTTTATTTTTCAATTTATAGTTACAGAAGTTCCCGGCAAAGTGCCTGGGTAGGAGCGCTATATCGAAATACATTTTCACCTTGGCATGAACATTTTGTGAAGTATTTTATTTTTCAATTTATAGTTACAGAAGTTCCGGCAAAGTGCCTGGGTAGGAGCGCTATATCGAAATACATTTTCGGCCATTAAATTTCTCGAATTTAAAAATCGCCAATAGTATATTATTTAAAATTGAGAGTTTCTAATTCTTCATGGATCCCTGTTTCTAATATGAAATATTTATTAAAATAATGTTAATGGTTTGGCTAATTCAATAATATGACAATGTTAATTTCTTAGAAATGCAGAAAAGTCATAAATAAATGTATGTAATAAATTGTTATAATATTATTAAATGATAAATATCTGAAATATGATAGTAACATTTTATTAGGTGATTGATTTATTGTTAGTTAGAATTTAAAATCTAATAATTATATAAAATATATATAAACCTGTGAAATCCGATTCTATATAATGGGTAATTTTGACGTAATTTTTGAATGGATTCACTAACACCTCCTCCTCGGTTTCACGCTCTTTTCCTTTCCGGCTTGAACCGGAATTTAAATCTATGCCGAAGAAATTCAAATAGGGATCAAGTGTACGGGATTCAATCAATACCTCAGGATTTGTATTTAAAATATTTTCCGGATTATCACCGTTAGTTACCACCTCACCGGTGTGTTCTTCAAAATATAGGTCTTTAGAAATGTATTCCTGTCCATGAAATATATCATAATCATGGGTAAGGTTTGTTAAAATAGAATAAGAAGAACAAATTAACCAATTAGTTCGCAACAATAGAAAGCAGATTAGAAGGTATGGTATCCATGCACAGAAATAGCTTTGTTTTATTAGAAGTTTTATTAGAAGCATCAAAGATTTTTTTCATAAATTGTTTAAAAAATATATATATTTTATTTATCAACTGATTTTTATCGAAGCCTGATATCAGTTTACCGCATAAACAGTTTTTTAATAACTAGGTTCAGAAATACAAAATAAGAAGTTAAACAAAAAATTTTGAAGAAATAAAAATGTTGTTTGTCTAATAATGATTGAATAAATAAAAATTTGGCTGTTTGCTTTTCATTTTCAAAATCATAACATTGAATTTTACTTTCTTACCTCATGACTGATTTATTTAAGAGATAGGAACTAGATATTATACCATCCAGAGAGATGCATAACACTAGTGCGCCTATTTAATTGAATATTTTATATATTCAAATAATATTCAAGAATATCAAATATCATTATTCGAATAATATTCGAATATTTTTTTTCTATTTGAATATCATCGTATATCGAATAGTAATAAAATTAGATTCGAATATATTAAATTTCAAATATTATTGTAATCTCATAAACTTAGTATTGTTATAGCCTGACTTTTGCCACCTCCAACATGGTTTCGACGTATCCTTATTTTAAAAAATTATCTCAATTATTGAATTGAGGCTGAAATTTAGGAGTTTATAACAATTTAATTTTTTTAAGCTAAAAACTTGTCAAAGCCATATCGGAATTTATAATTAGCTTCGATAAAAGGGTGGTCATTTTTGTTTATAAAGATCATATTATGACATTTTAGCTCCTGAAAAATATATAGAATTTAATATTTAAATTTAAGGGGCATAACAAGATGGTATTAATTAAGAATTTGCATAAAGTATAGGTTCCGCAAATCAAACTAAATAATTTAAATTATTTTATAAATATTAAAACAACTCAAATTTTTTTTAAAATATAATTCCAAAATTTATATTTAAAAAAAATGTGTTATCTGTGAATCTTTAAATGGCTCGATTTATGCAAAAAAATTTACGCAAGTTTGGATATTTTGCTCGTAGATAGCAGAAGCAAAATCTTTCATGAAGAAATAAAAAATATGTTTTAAAAATAATTTTGATCGTCTTAAAAAAATTCTTCAATTTTTTATTTAAAAAATTTTTTTTCAAAATTTTGACCAAATATAAATTTTTAATGTTTGAGGATTGATTTTTTTTCCAAACTCTTACTTGTCTGCTCTATACTCTATCTTTAAAAAATTTTAAATGATCCAACATCACTAATAACATCTAGAATAATATCATATCAATATTTATCTATATATTAATTATATAACTTTCCAGCGTTGTAATATTCAGGCTGTTCAGCTAGGCTCAAAGTGTATAAACCCTTGACAAACTTATCAATTTTATTTTGTGTAATTATTGGTTTTATTTTATTAATGGCATAAAATCATCTTTTTATGGTGGTGGAGTGGCTTATTTTCCTCTCTGCTCTTTTAGATATAACTTATAATGGGTATAATGCCTAAATGACATCTCTAATAAAAGAAAAAAAATATATAATCATATAAAATTATCATATAAATAATGTATTTTAATATGTTTAACAAAATTTTTAAATGAGTTTGTTGAACCCCTCATCATTTTTTTGTTTGTACAGGTTTGACATTCAGCATATACATTGTGATTTTTGACTTGAATTATTTTTAAAAAATTTCCATCTAAAATTTTTAGATTGGGATTTGATTCAAGGGAATTCATTTCTTGTTAATTTTTTAGCTTTTGGTTGTCAATATATTTAAAATATGGGAGAATAAAAATTAATACAGGATTCCACAGAGAAAATAAGGTTATATTCTGTGATATGTAAATTTTTTAAACATGAATATTAAAAAGAATCTGTATCTTTTGTCAAGAAAATGAAAAAAGAAAGATATAAGATTCTTTTCAGAATAAAGGATATTATATATATATATAGGAGTATCTTATCAAAAATGTCAAAAGATACTGAGTACAAGATACAAGTATTCGCGGTCCTGCCCAACTCAGAATAACACCTTTTAAATATTTACATCCATAGCGTTCCCTAACAATTTAGTTTTATTATTATTTAAATAATTTGCTATTTTTAATATTATACTTTTTTTTAAAAAACTTTAAGTTTTGCCTAATTTGTCCATTCTTACTGTCTTTAATGATGTATAAAAAGCCTTTTTCATTCATTAGCTATTTAATGCATATAGTGTTGTTATACAGCTCGATTTTTAAAAACGGAAACCCAATATTTTAGCCAAAAAATATTACACAAGCTTGGAGATTTTGTTCTTAGATGGAAGAAAGGTTTGGACATATTAACCAAATCTCGAGGTTTGTGTAATATTGTTTTGGCCAACATCAATTAAAATTGGCTAAATCGAGCCGTTAAAGAGAGAAAATTGTTGCTGACCTTAAAATTTATAGATCTTGTTGAGGAGATTTATAAAGGAGGAAAACATTTTAAAATTATAATTGGGTTCTAATTAAAATAACAATAAATAAAAAGGCTAAGAAGACCCGGATATGGTGTAATTCGATCCTCTAGAAGGTTGTTTCAAAACACATTCGTAATCGAAGAATTCATAAAATAGGTGATGCATTTTACAAAATAAAAACTTTAGTATAATTTCGTCTAAATTCAAATTATTTTATAAGGTTCAAAATAAAGAGAAATAGAAAAAAAACTTTATTAGACAAATATGAACATTTTAATTAGACTTCCGTAGAATGGAACAGACTGTTGTGTTATATCAGATTTGAGAGAAAATACCAATATTAGTAATAATCTTGTATTGAGAAAGAAAAATGAGGTTGAATAAAAAGGTCTGAAAAATTGAAGTGCGATTATCTGGAATTACATGCCTGGGTACTGTTGCTGATGACATTCTTAGCCATTAAACTAATAAGAAATACCTTTTACGTCAAACCAAATCTTGAGAAAATAAATGTTTTCAAGTTTTATATTTTAAATAAAGATTTGTAGGGGAGACCGGGGATAACCCATTTCAATCTCTCTCCCCCTCAATAACTCCCCCCCCCCCCAATAAAATTATTGGCTATGGGCCTAGTTGCCTTACAATATTTGG